TCTCTCTCTCTCTCTCTCTCTCTCTCTCTCTCTCTCTCTCTCTCTCTCTCTGTGTGTGTGTGTGTGTCTGTGTGTATGTGTGTGTGTCTGTGTAAAGTGCTGGATAGGACAAAGGTTAATGTGAGATTTATTTATTTACTTTAGCACTTCTCATAGACTTTAGACTATCATAAATCTCCAATAAGAACACAGAGTTTTTTTTTTTCTTTTTTACCCATTTCTTTGAACAAACTTATTTTACAGAACACCCCTAAGGAAGATGATGTAGTGCACAGAAGACAATTTGAAAAATCTGGTCTAACTCAACAGTGAATCTTAGTGTTTTGCCTATACCAGTGTCCTGACACAGGAAGCTACGTTTAAGATCAAGGGGCCACCACGATCCTCACCTAGAAACTGTGTTTTCTTCTGTGATTTTTGGGCGTGGCTATGCTCACAGATTGCACTTGGTGGAAGACTATGGCACTGGTCAGACTCAGGCCTACCCTGATATGTACTGTCACTGAGAATTTTGTATTGTTTAGTACTAAGGGACTTAGATTCACCTGTTAATGGGGGGCAATAATCAATATCCGTAGCAAAATACATTTCAAACAACACAATGCGTGTGAATCAATGTTAAGAAAGTATCTGAGGTACAGTCTCAAGAGAACATAGTCTTAGTCCATAATATGATTTCTGTTATTCAACAGAGGCTATCAAAGTCTGTCATCTAAAAGCAACAACAAACCCAGTTCCTTCCAAGTGAGTCCCTCTGGCTGCACCTGAAGCATCTACCTAGCTGCTTGAGTGCCTATGGGAAACCGTGCGACTGAAATGGGATCGCTATCCCTCGTAACGCACGCACGTCCACATGCAACTGGTGGAAGCAGTTTGCGAATCTTCACACTTTTTAAAGAAAGATCTGCTCAAAGGAGATCTTTGAAATAAGGAAACTATGTAGCTGATTCTGATGCCTGCCTACGTAATACTAAAAAGAAATCAGGCTATGTTTATTAGTTTATAAATAAAAAACTAATTGAGAGGTTGAAATGTTTTATTACCAAGGCTGTAACATTTCATACTAATTTAGTAATTTTTAATCTGTGATTCTCAAAGCTTTCCACGTCCCCAGAAAATAGTGTTTTAAATTCAGCCCTCAAATTTCTCTTCTATTTTTTTCCTTTTCCCCACGGCCTACATCACCATCTCACTGGACTGCTCCTCTAATATGAGTTGGTACTGGTGGCCGTGGTGTGCTGTGCAGTGATTGCTTCCTCTTTAAAACTTATTTTTATTTTTTTAAAACAACTTCTGTGTTACAACTGCTTAAATGTAAAATGTTGTATTGGCACAACAAACAAACAGGACATCTACTTTAAAGGACTTAACACTGAAAGGCAGCTCTTAGAAAATGATCCCTTTTCAAATTTTGCATAGTCTTTTCTATGTGATCTCTTTAAAGAAAGAATCTACTGAAAAAACTGAATTTAAAAACAATACCAAAAATGATAGTTACTTGAAAGACTGCGGAAACTGATGAAATCCAAGTCAGATGATCCATTAACCTGAAGCCGACACATCCCTTAAATCTGGACCTAGTGTTCTTAATTGTAAACTGGAGAAAAGCTTAGTTCTAGACAATATCTTTGGTTGGATGGCAGCTTCGGGGTCCATGACATGATAGAGTGACCTGTGCCCCTGTAGGTGAAAACCCTGATGCTGTTCTCAGCCTCCTTCCTAATCTCATCGCTCGGTGGGAGAGGGAAGTTCGGGAATTTCCTTAGAGCAACCTTGGAAACAGCGCTGTTTCTTATTCCGTGAAGCAGACCAAGCCCTCTGTACTCTTCTGTGCTCTGCCCTATTTCTTTGAAGGGAAAACGAGACTGTGGACTGATAGTGGTGGGAAAGGCTTAATTTAGATGATGCTGCCCAGTAACTAATACATTTTAATAACTTCACGTCTCACCTAGCACCGTCAGCTCAATAATTTTGAGGATGAAACACAAGACAGGTGCATCTTTATAACAGATGTCTAAGAGGAGGGAGATGGCTCAGCTAAGATGCTAAGCCTGGGGTACACTGAGGCGAGATGGGTAGGCAGCGTAGCGGAAGGTTAGGGAGCCAGTACCTGGGAGCCTGTGGACCAGGAAGCTATAGGAACATAACATGAGCAATGAACATGAGTGTTCACAAAAGGACGTGTCCGCCCACCTCATTTTCACTATCAAAATGTGACACAAGGGCTACGTTCACCACTTCTGTCCCCAAGTACCTGTGACCTGACTGTGTATTTAGAACCTGTTGCTCTTTAAAAAAAAAAAAATGCTAGAAATTTAAAGAAATTCTTTTTTTTTTCTCTCTTCAAAATACTTTAAATCACAGCAGGCATAATGGTGTGTACCTGTAGTCAAGTTACCCAGAAGTCCGAGGCAGGAGGATAGTGTTAGACGAGCTTCCATGCAAAGACTCAAAATAAACTTTAAAGTGGACAACACAGTTTCTATGAACATGTCTATGAGACAAAATAGATGCCACTCCAGTTTCATAGGTAAAAGTATGACTGCAGTTCCCTCAGACACCAGCATGGTGACAAACTTCGCAGTGCCTGTGAGCCTGTAGACAAGTCCCATCTTGAGCAGTGATCTGTATGTATAGAGGAATGTTGATGTTTCTCCATGACAGCTTGAGCCTTGTTCCCTATTTCAGTCACCCTGGAACCACTTCCGGCTTCAGTGGGGGGAAAGCCACCTACAATAGCTCCCTATTGTTTGAAAAGTTTGGCTCCTGCTATTTTGCATGAGTTAAAGAGCCCTTTCTTTCCTTTCGTGCCCAGGGCGTGCATACTCTCTGATCCTGCCCTTCTGAAACTTAGGCAATTCCAAGCTTCTGTCTTTCGCATTTGACATCTGTCTCTCCGCAGGACCCTCCCACTCCTTGTGGCCTGTGTTAGTTGCCCATTTGTTTCCCTTGTGTCCCTTTGATCGCGGGTGTACATTGTCATCAATGGTTGACATTCCTGTGTCCACTGTACTGTGCCCTCCTTTAAGGATGCACCAGGGCTTCGTCTGTGTCCCCTACCTCCGGTGACAGTGCTCATTGTTTAATGTATGTCTGGTAAGTATCTACTGATCGAATGAATATATAAACGGTAGAAAGTAATCGGGAAACAGTCTCTCCAGATAAAGCTAATCAAAGAGAGAAAATCTCGATAGAATTAGTAAAACACAAAGGCACTTTATTGATAAATCTGAGCCATGTAAATTCTTTAAAATAAACAAGAAAAAAACGTGTGTGTGTGTTTACTGAGACAGATTCATTCTCTCTCTCCTCTCTGTCTCTGTCTCTCTGTCTCTGTCTCTCTCTCTCTCTCTCTCTCTCTCTCTCTCTCTCTCTCTCTCTCTCTCTCTCTCTCGTTGAGGGAGCCTGGTTGGCCCTTTGCTTTCCGACTCGATTTGGTTGTGTTTTGTATTCAAATGAATACCTTCAGCTGTGAGCGCTTCAGCTGGGGGACTTAAATACCGGACTCAGCAGAGTCCCGAGTTCAAAAGGGGCCCCCTAAGGATCCGGGATTGCTCCTCCGTCTGGGTGTACACTGGGTCTGACGCTGGGGCACCCGAGGCTTCGGTTCTCAACCGCTTTCCTCTAACATTTAACGGGTAGCTAGCTCTCCTTTGCTTGTTTCTGATCCCATTAAAAAGGAGGGGTGAAGTATGACTGCCGAAATACACTACTAATAGAAGGCGCATCTGAGCTCACATTTTACATCCCACCAAACTTTAGTTCTGTTGTTTTCTTTTGACAGTGATCCAGGGAAATGGCGCGTCCAAAAGCCCGCCGAGCCCAGCCTGAGAGCTCCATGGCTTATTGGAGTCATATTTTCAACAAAATCTCGACAGACTTAGACTCAAAGGAAACCCGATTCTCAAGTCAGGGGCATGCATTCAGAATCAACGGTCAAAGTAGCTGTTTGTGACTAGAGTCAAGGGTAGGATTTTTAAAACAAGAAAGTAGATTTAAAAAAAAAAAAGCAAAGCAGAGCTAAATCCCGCGGCTCGCCGACTCCTATTCATTATCTCCAGCAGCATATGGGACCATTCTCTTACTTGTCCTCGCTCACAAGCAAAAGCAACCAAGCCTGTCCCGCTTCATAGCTACTCTTTGTGCCTGAGCGGTGCCTCTCTGCCACCACCAGCACCACCACCACTTCCTCCTCCTCCCTCCTGCAGCCGGTTCCAGCCAAGGCTGGGAGGGAAAGGGCTCCCTTTACGCTCGACAGCGGGTGCCGCGATTGGGCGACGGTCCCTGAGCCTCCAGCTCCGTGTCGGTTTCAAGGCTCCTCCCTCTCCGTGAAAGACAGACTGCGGGGCGCCTGGAAACCGGTTGGAGGGCGCGCGAGGGAGAGGAGAGGCAGCGAGTTGAGGGATTGACACAAATGGTCAGGCGGCGGCCGAGGAGGAGGAGGCGGAGGCGCAGGGGGGACCCGAGGCGGCGGCGAGGCTGCCAAGAGTTGCCCGCTCCTCTCCCAGGCTGCGGCCACTAGCGCGGTGCCGCGGGCCGAGAGCCACCAGCCCGCCGCGGTCCGGGAAGCAGGGACGCGATCCCGGATCGCCGGGACCACTCGCGTTCTCCCTGCCGCCCGCGCTTCATGAACCGCAAGTTTCTGCGGCGGCGGCGGCGGCTGCGGGACTCCGAGCAGGATCTGGGCGAGCGGGTGGAGCGCGACCGCAGCCCGACGGAGGGCACAAGCAGGGACCAGCTCTCCCCGAAGACAGTAGGAGCCGCCACCCGCCGCGCTGCTGCCTGCCCCAGCCGACCGGCGCCGAGGAGGGAGCCGAAAAAGTATGGCTGAGGAGGCGGCGCCTAGCGAGTCCCCGGCCTCGAGCCGGCCGAGCTGGGAACTTTGTGCCGGGGCTCTCCCGGACCAGCGGGAGGCGGTGGGGCTCGGGGACGCGACCGGCCATCACCGTCCTCGGGCTGACCCCCGGCGCTGGGCGAGCGGGCTGCTGCTGCTGCTTTGGCTGCTGGAGGCTCCGCTGATGTTGGGGGTCCGAGCGCAGGCGGCGGGCCAGGTACCCGGGCCGGGCCAGCAAGCCCCGCCGCCGCCCCAGCAGCAGCAGGGCGGGCAGCAGTACAACGGCGAACGGGGCATCTCCATCCCGGACCACGGCTATTGCCAACCCATATCCATTCCGCTGTGCACGGACATCGCCTACAACCAGACCATCATGCCCAACCTGCTGGGCCACACGAACCAGGAGGACGCGGGCCTGGAGGTACATCAGTTCTACCCGCTGGTGAAGGTGCAGTGCTCCGCCGAGCTCAAATTCTTCCTGTGCTCCATGTATGCGCCGGTGTGCACGGTGCTGGAGCAGGCGCTGCCGCCCTGCCGCTCCCTCTGCGAGCGCGCGCGCCAGGGCTGCGAAGCGCTCATGAATAAGTTCGGCTTCCAGTGGCCAGACACGCTCAAGTGTGAGAAGTTCCCGGTGCACGGCGCAGGAGAGTTGTGCGTGGGCCAGAACACGTCCGACAAAGGTACCCCGACTCCCTCCTTGCTGCCGGAGTTCTGGACCAGCAATCCGCAACACGGCGGCGGTGGTTACCGAGGTGGCTACCCGGGGGGCGCCGGCACGGTGGAGCGGGGCAAGTTCTCCTGCCCGCGCGCCCTCAGGGTACCCTCCTACCTCAACTATCACTTTCTGGGGGAGAAGGACTGCGGCGCACCCTGCGAACCCACCAAGGTCTATGGGCTCATGTACTTCGGGCCGGAAGAGCTGCGCTTCTCGCGCACCTGGATTGGCATCTGGTCGGTGCTGTGCTGCGCCTCCACGCTCTTCACGGTGCTCACGTACCTAGTGGACATGCGGCGCTTCAGCTACCCGGAACGGCCCATCATTTTCTTGTCCGGCTGTTACACAGCGGTGGCCGTGGCCTACATCGCTGGTTTTCTGCTGGAGGACCGGGTGGTGTGTAACGACAAGTTTGCCGAGGACGGGGCGCGCACGGTCGCACAGGGCACTAAGAAGGAGGGCTGCACTATCCTCTTTATGATGCTATACTTCTTCAGCATGGCCAGCTCCATCTGGTGGGTGATCCTGTCCCTCACCTGGTTCCTGGCAGCCGGCATGAAGTGGGGCCACGAAGCCATCGAGGCCAACTCGCAGTATTTTCACCTAGCCGCCTGGGCTGTACCAGCCATCAAAACTATAACCATCCTGGCGTTGGGCCAGGTGGACGGCGATGTACTGAGCGGAGTGTGTTTTGTAGGACTTAACAACGTGGACGCGCTGCGTGGCTTTGTGCTGGCGCCGCTCTTCGTGTACCTGTTTATCGGCACATCTTTTCTCCTGGCCGGTTTCGTGTCACTCTTCCGCATCCGCACCATCATGAAGCATGACGGCACCAAGACCGAGAAGCTGGAGAAGCTCATGGTGCGCATCGGCGTCTTCAGCGTGCTCTACACGGTGCCGGCCACCATCGTCATTGCCTGCTACTTCTACGAGCAGGCCTTCCGGGACCAGTGGGAGCGCAGCTGGGTGGCCCAGAGCTGTAAGAGTTATGCCATCCCCTGCCCTCACCTCCAGGGGGGTGGAGGCGTCCCACCACATCCGCCCATGAGCCCCGACTTTACAGTCTTCATGATTAAGTATCTCATGACGCTGATCGTGGGCATCACATCTGGCTTCTGGATCTGGTCCGGCAAGACACTGAACTCTTGGAGGAAGTTCTACACGAGGCTGACCAACAGCAAACAGGGGGAGACTACCGTCTGAGACCTGAACTATGCCTTCTTCCCCAGGTCTTGGTCGGATCCTGCCCTCTCCTGAAAGCTGGCCCCAAGGAATTCCCGGCAAGCCTGGCCACTCCAGGCTTCCTCGCAAGACACTCAACTTTTACAGGCTCCTTGCAACAAACAGAGCTCCTGCAAAAACTTCCATCCCTGGGGTAAAGGAGAGAGGGCCCAACTGCCAGAGAGGGGTGTGTGTGTGTGGACCGATCTCTCGAGTCCTAGCTCTGATTCTGGGACTGTATGCTTTTATGATTGTAAATAGCCTGTGTAAGATTTTTGTAAGTATATTTGTATTTAAAGACTACCGAACACGCAATTTTCTTTTCTTTATAAAAATGTTTAATTATTTAGGGACGTTTAAGCATTTGAAGCTTTTCTCACTTGCCTTTTTCTGAAGACTGCAGAGGAGGTACAATGGAGCACGCTTGCTGAGTGCCCTACCCTTGTGCCCATCACAGTTGTGGGAGCGCGGGCCTGGCTCTCTATGGCACTGAGGGCTGGGACAGGGGTGCCTCTCGAGGGTCATTTTCCATCGCTGCTTCCTTCAGCTTCTCTTTCCCCTCCTTGCTTGCGTGGGAACTCAAGGTGCAGAACTTCACAAAGTTTCCCCATCCGGAGGTGGGTCCCGCCCATTCTAGTTCCTCCCCCTTTTAGAGGCACAGTGTGGTGCCTTAGCCTTGCCCCTCTGACTTCCCATGCTGATTTTTGAGAACCACCTTTCAGTTTCATAGAGGCCCACCCGGTGTTCACTGCCTGTTGACTCAGCCTCCCTCTTCCCTGGTGTCCCTCGCCTGGATATTCCCTCCTACCACCTAAACTGGTCAGAGAGTAAGTGTGGTAACTAATGCCTAACTTTGGAAAGTCTGACTTTTTATGGGTGGGCTCATTTTTCCTCTTTAGTGTAAGAACCTGCTATGGGTTTGGCCATCATTATGGAAAGACGTGGCTAGTGATTGTGGAAGAGCAGCAAGCTTTGTGTGGGTTGGAAGAAACTGAAGAGAGAGATTAGAAAATGTTAGTTCTAATTGCATTTTGATGGTTGATAACCTACTCCCGCCCCTCCCCCATCCAATCCCGTGAGGCTGCCTGCTTTTAGATTTTACCCTTCTATGAAATGGAGACTTTGAGGTTGCCTGGAAAGCCTGGTGAGGAGTTGATCTTTGTCTTCCTTAACAGGATAGCAGAGCATACACAGATTATGAAAATTTAGGGAGATCTCAGTGGAGTGGACTTCCTCAAAATGAAATGCTGTTTTCTGGTTTTAATCAAATTGTAATTAGACTTGTATCAACTGTACAACCGAGAAGTTGTACAGAATCAACATATTACGATTCCTCAGCCACTCATTCTGAGGGAGGAGCCATCCACAGCCCCAGGAATAGCCTGACTTATGTCCGAAGACAGAGGAGGTGGACGAGAGAAGCAAACACAACGTGGGCATGCATGCTGAATCGGAAGTGTGTCCATTCCTACTGCATCCTAGCCCTCTGTGTGCTCCTGTGTGCATTTACAGCAGTATGTCGAGTGTAAATCTCTCAAAGCCATTTAGAGCATTCACTTTAGTTCTCTCTGAAGAGGAGAAAAGCAATCCTTCTGAATGTAGTGTTTAAACTTTAAGAGTTTATCAAAAACGCCGGCACATGGGACCTAAATTTATCTGTCTGTTGTTCCCTAAACTGACATTGGTTTTTGAATTTGGTATGCATTTATTCTGTCCATTTATCATAAAACCATTTATATTTATAGAGGAATAGAAGTTTATATATATAAAATACCATATTTTTAATTTCGCAAATAAAAAAATGAAAGTTTTGTATGAAATCACATTGTTTTGTGCCTCATAACAACAGACCATTCTGAAGCATCTTCTCAGTTTATAATTCAGCCTCGTATCCAGCCCCACAATGTCACAACCTCAAGAATCTGAGAGAAAGTTTAATACAGAGAATGCCCAGCCTGCCTGCCTTCCGAGTGGCATCCATGAAGTCTCATGCGAAGGCTGCTGTCTTGGCCGCAGAGAGTGGAAGGCTTCAATGTTGTTTGGAATAATAATAATAATAATATCAAACGATACTATTATTAAAAGGTAACTCTCACTTTTAACATTGAAAGTTTTTTTTTCTTTCAAGGGAAGCATTTCCATGACTATTGTCATGGAGGTTTATCATTCAGTCCTCACCTCTGATGCTCCATGAGGGATTGTCTTGTCTTCCTATTACCTACACACTCCCAACACAAAAGCAGGCAATCCGTAAGTGGCCACCGACTCGGTTCCTAAGCATCTTAAGAGAGCAGTAGACTATGAAAGTCTGGTGTTCCATTTGTTTGTTTGTTTACTTCTGAAGATTCCATTTTCATATGAAAGAAAGAAAGAGTCTTTCTTTCCCTGAGGAATTTCCCAGTTGACCTACTCTTCCTCAGAATTTATATGTATGTGTGTGCATGTATCTGTACACATGCATGGAACTATATATATATATATATATATATATACATAATTAAATTTTAAAATAGAAATACACAATTTACATTTTATAATATGGAAATAATATGAGAAAAGAATGCTACTGGAAAACTTCAAATATCTGGAGATTAAATATACCTTTATTATATTTTCCATTACTTTTTAAAATAAAAGAACAAAAGGCTGAAGAGAGGACCATTACTACAAAGAGTGGTCTTTAGGTTGTTAGGGAATTGTGTTATACATCTTAATTCATTTTAAAACACTTAAATTTTAATTTAATGGAATATATATCATTTTAAGTATTAAACAGCATTTGGATTTTTTGTTACATTAATAGAAAAGGTAATATTTGAGAACCTTTTATGCAAAGATACACGTGAAAAACAGTAATTCTGTAGGCAAATTAGAACATGTCCCCTAGATAATTATGTAACATTTGGGAGAAAATTTCAAGACAATTCATTAGTTTTTGTCCCAGGAGTAAATGTCAAAACCAGTGCTACTGTGAATGTCTTTGAAAAGATGCAGACGGGAATTTGACACAGAAAGGCTGTATATTCTGCATTTGAACGTTCAAATAGTATTTTAACTCACTGTCAGGCTTTGTTTTCAGAGAGCAATTTATTTTAAGGTGTGCGAGATACATAAACCCAGGGGGATTTTTGTCTGATTTGGTTGACTTTGCTTCATTCAGTATTGATGACAAAATAGAACTAATCCGGAAAACCATAAAGACACTGATGATTTGACCCCATTAGGATGTTGTTTCTATGACAAACCCTATTTTCAAATGGTTTGATTCGCCTGAATATAAATACACACACACACACATACACACACACATGCACTTACACACACACACACACACACACACACACACACACACACACATCTGCCAGCTTTCTACTGGAGTCAGTTTCTCCCCCTCACAGTATACTTGATTTAGCTTTTACAGTAAATGTGATTATAACATGAAAACCTTCAGATGCTCCTAAATTTTTCTTCATGTAAATGTTATTTTGGCGAGAGTGATTTATTTAGGAGGCAAAGAATTGTATTTTTAATCTCAGAGATAAGCATATGCAAAAGAACCAGAGGTGATATTTCAGCTATTCTCTTGTTAACCTGAGTTTAGAGTCCTGGTCCTTTTGTCTCCGCTGTGAGCACTGAAGCCTTCTGCCATACATACATGATTGTTAAAGGCCCAGCGTTTATCTAGGAAAAGAGACCATGAGGGTGGTATGACATTGAATACCCTTGATATATTTCAGATGATAAATTTTTATATAACTGGAGTCCACGAAATTAAAAACCAAATATGGTTACTGCATATATCTACATGTGAATACTATTAATATTGTCATGATATAGTTTTAAAACACACCAGTCTCAGTGTTTTGCAGGGTTGGCCTGTGGGAGCACAAATAAGGCGTGGACTGTATGGGAATTTGACCCTTGGGTAACTAAAAAAAAATCGTAATGTTACCTTCATTCAAGGGCTTTGTGTTGAGGCCTTTACATTTGCTATGATGTCTTAGAAGAAACTTGCCAAGCAGGTGTCAGGGGAAAACACTATTTGAGTTTCCTCATGGCTCAAAATTCCCTTAAAATTTAAGATTGAGGGAATGAGCATTTCTGTGCACACAGACCACACCTTTTAATAGACATGCCAAGCTGTAGCCAATTATTGTGAGAAAGCAGTTATTTCTTAGGACCTGGCATTTAAAGCATATTCTCTACACTAATTTTCCTTGAATTTTATTATGGTGGAAAGTGTCCTTCAGCCACTGTGGAGTCAAGTTACTTTGTAACAATTTTGTCTGTAGATTAACATGGAAATTCAATAACAGGTAAAAATGAAGGATTTCTCACAGAAATCGTTCATGTGATATGTTCAGTAAACTTGAGTATAGTCTGTAAACATGTGAACATATATTTTGTACATTATAATTAGTTTTAGATTCTAAAGTTCCTTAAAAAAAATAAGGTGCCACTTCCAATAGAAATGAATTCCTTTAAGATGTTCATATTCTAGAAATACAGTTGGAGGACAGAACTCATGTAATACTGAATTTTCTTCATTTAATATTGGAATATTAATTTGAAAGGAATATGGAATATTCAAATAGAATTTACATATTTTACACACACTTTTTTAAAAGGTGAAATTGACACTTGAGAACAATTTTTAAGTTTTACTATTTATAATATGCATATTTCATATAATGATCCCAAGAAATTTCATACACAGTGTAGACTTACAAACATGTTGGCAATGCAGCGATTAACATCAAAAGAGCTGCTGGTGCTGCTTTGAGATAGTTCTTTGTGGCCTGGATTCCTTTCCTTTTCTTTAAAGAAACCCAAACTGAGTATCCCTCTATTTTGTAGATATTTCCATTTCAGATCTCAGTACCTGTTTGAATTAAATTTGCAGGGAAATAGCTGCAGCATCCCCTGTAGACAAAGGGTGGCCTTCATTGCTTTTCAAGGTGGCAGTGTGCCCTTGCTTACACGCAGTACTCCAAGACACACTGTGTCCTGTCCTTGGACATGCTTGTCTTCACCACTGTAGCTGCGCTGTCCATAAGTTCTATGGTCTGGCTGAGATCCTTTCCACATGCCTTATACATGCTTGGCTTCCCAGAAGTCCTATGGTCTGGCTCATACCCTTTCCACATGCCTTGTGCTACTCAAGTGTTAGGAGTATGTTTCTCTTAAGAAGCAGATTTCAGCTGGGGCATGGCGGTACATACCCACAACCCAAGCCAGGGGGAGGTATTATTGGGAGTATTACAACTCACTCTGTGCTACACAGTGAGACCCCATCTAAATAATTAAATGGTAGATTTAGAGATTATTCTTGACTCTTTATTTCCAACTCCTGACAAGTATTTTTAAATGTTAATTTTAGTAAATACCCCGTTAAAAATTTGTAGTTGCTCCACTAGGGTAACCAACCATCTAGGTTTCTTCAGGACAGAGAAGCTGCAGTAGTAAAATCAAAAAAGTTCCGAGCAAATGAGTATTGGAGCTCTGTGTCATGAATTAAACTGCACTCTCATAAGTGCAGGAATAAATACTGGGCAAAAACGAGCAAAGTACAATGACAACATATAATAAAATTCACTTTTTCTTTCTTTCTTTCCTTTCTTTCTTTCTCTCTTTCTTTCTCTCTTTCTTTCTCTCTTTCTTTCTTTCTTTCTTTCTTTTTTCTTTCTTTTTTCTTTTTTTTTTTTTTGAGATGGGGTTTCTCTGTGAACCATTCCTGTCTGTCCTGGAACTCAATCTGTAGAGCAGGCTGGGCTTGAACTGACAGAGATCCTCCAGCTTTTGCCTCCTGAGTGCTGGGACTGGAATTAAAGGAATGTACCACCACTGTCTGGCCATTTTTGTTTGTTTGTTTGTTTTGTTTTTCGAGACAGGGTTTCTCTGTGTAACAGTCCTAACTGTCCTGGAACTAGCTCTTGGAGACCAGGCTGGCCTCGAACTCGCAGAGATCCACCTGCCTCTGCCTCCCAAGTGCTGAGATTAAAGGTGTGCATCACCACCACCTGGCCACTTTTGCATTTTTAAAAAACGCATATGCTGGTCACAAATTCAAAGTGAGTTCTGTGGCTGTAGTGTTCTTGCCACACCAGAAGGAAAGGCAGTGAGCTCAGGCCTTTGAAGCATGTCTTCACAGCGAGTGCCAATCAGCAGAAGCTTGTGGGATGTAGAGCTGTCAGGGACCAAACCACAATAAACACACTGGACAATGAAGAGACCATGCGCGCAGGCAGGAGTCTAACCAGACCCTGAACCTTGTTCTTGCTATTCATAAGATCTGGTTAGTTAAACATCTATTTTTTTTATAAAGGAATCTCATATGTATTCCCCTGAAATGCTTTTTAAATTGGCATTAACAATTATATCAGTGGAGGGAACTGCTGGGTTTTTTGCATGCTTACGTTTATTTTATTTTCCATTAGGATCAAAGCAATCCATTGGAGTAAGATGACACACTCCAATGGAAATCACTCCAAATGGTTACCTACTTCTACACCAATCTACCTGTCAAACTCTTTTCCTAGAGAAAAGTAGAGTTAGTACTCATTTTTTCCTCAAACTCAAACTCATTTCTGAAAGGAGAAAAGAAGATGACAGTTAGGTCTTAGGATCCCACTGTGATTATTGACAGCTGCAGAACACTGTAGAACACCGTCTAGGGCCTTCTCACTTCCTCATGAAGCTCTTCAACCAGAATTGGTCCACTCCCATCCCCAATGTTTTTTCCAATGTCATTCTTCATGTAAATTTCCACGAGATGTCATTGGCTTTGTGGAAATCACGCTACTATCGTTATCTACTATAACTCAATGTAAATGAAGTTAAAATTGACGTCATTGTTCCAGAACACATTGGGATCTTGAGCTGATTCCCAGCAGGAGATGTCAGGAGATACTGGCCAGTATCTGGACACATATCTGATTATCATGAATGTGGGAAGGGAGGTGGTAGAGCGTGTAGCATGTGGACACACCCAAGATGCTAGGGCACAGAAAAGCCCTCCACAATCATAATATTTCAATATTTCAGAGTGAAGACTCCTTGCTCCAGATGAGTCACTGAAATTGTGAGATATACATTTTAAAAT